AGGTGAGGGAATAAATAAAAGCATCTTTTTTTTCCTCCCAAGAAAATGGGCCTGCAACAAATCAACAGTGAGAAGGGAAAATCAGTGTAGTCTGAAGCGACACAAATGCTTGCATCCTAAGACTGACATTTATTATATTTTAGGACTCTTTCCTACTGTATTTAGAACATACTTTCCAGTCACATTTAAAAACACCTATTCGTTGCACCTTCTAATCAGAATGGTACGTACACAGGGCTTTACACATCATGAGAGTTACCAGAGATATCATTTACCAAACTCAGACTGAAAGCTAGGTTTTACACTGAAAAATAAAATGCACTTCTGGAAATGAACAGATTCTGCAAATGTGATCACTATACAAACTCAGAGCTTATTCTGAATATTGTTGGGAACTCGAAAGGTAAATTATCATCTATCCCAGCAGGGTATTGAACTCCAGGCTTGTAAATGCATGCCTTCCCCACAGCTTGCTGGGGCTGAACCATCTGGCTAATGAGCCCCTCCAGCAATGCCAGATTCTGCACAGAAGCCCAAAGTTGGAGACGTTTACAGAGCTAGCACCACGGAGTCAAGTCTCCTTTCTCCATCATGCCAGGTCCACAGAAAATAAAGCCACCCCATGCTGCATGAAGCCCCAGCTATTTATAGGACTGAGGGATTGCACCATCCCATGCAACACACGCTTCACCTTGGAACTGCAAAATCAGACAATCTTTGAAGCGGGAAGGAGTCACTGCAAGTCAAAGCCGCAGTGACCCTCCTACACGGGACAGACCACATCATTTTTACCCGTTTCTTCTAAAGTTACACAAAAGGTATCTGATCAAATTAGCACATCTCAAGGAGATATCTCACATAAAGTCTTCAAGTGGTGATAGTAACTTCATTTTTTTTTTCCTAGTTTGATCAGGCTTGTTTTGTCTTCCAGGCAGCAAATCTCATTAAATCTTTGCCTACAAAATAAAAAGCCCTCTGGTATAAGAAATCTTCTTTTCTCATACATATTTATAGACCCCACTCAAGTAAACTCAGACACGAAACAAGACTATGTTTATCTGGAGACACATATTTTCCAGGAAACCATGCTGACTAGCATTTTTCATTACCACTGAATTATCCCCTTTACCACAGCATCACACAATGGTCTAATTTAGCTTGTTACTCACCAGACTTTCCATGACTTTTTCTTTTCTTCAAACTACAGCTTTTAAGGATACAATCCCCCATGCAGTAACTAGGACCTGTTTTGTTTTTTTCTCAGATGTACAAACCACAGATTTGGTGACCTTAAAATGCATGTTCATCTGCGCCAGTTTAACAAGCAATCCAGATTGCTCTGGATAAGCAAGATACCTTCTGTCTCCAGCATACTTCATGGATATTTTATCAAAGAAACTTTAAACTTGGGGTTAATAAATACTGTGATGGGAAGATTATGGAATAATATTGACC